TCGGGCACACCCGTCTGAAGGACGACGATGGCACGATTATAAGCTCCGATCTGGCAGTCGCTGAGAAATTTAACGGCTACTTCTCCGGTATTGCAGCCAGTATCAAGAGGCAAATCGCTGCCCATCGAACCTTTGACCCAGGTGGTTTCAAGCATTTTCTTAAGGCTTCGTGTAGTAACTCGATGTTTCTTAAGCCTACATCACACGGTGAAGTCCAAAAGATAATATCAGGGCTTAAGAACAAGTCCACACTCGATTGTAAAATTGAGCCATTGAAAATTGCAAACAGCTGCGAAAACTTTACCAGGGCACTAGCTAATGTCATTAACTGTTCGTTCTCCAGTGGTACCTTCCCAAATGCTCTAAAAACTGCGAAAGTCGTTCCTATCCACAAAGGTGGTTCAAAATTGGAAGTAGCTAATTATAGGCCGATCTCTCTTTTGGGATCATTCTCGAAAATTTATGAGAAACTTATGCATGCTCGTGTTTTAGAATTTTTAGATAAGAACGATTCTCTTTTCGAAAATCAATACGGATTTCGGCCAGGAAGATCGTGCGAACATGCACTGCTCAATGCCCAAAATTCTATACTACACTCTCTGAATAAGAAACAAATTTCCCTACTGCTCCTGCTCGATTACAGTAAAGCCTTTGACGTGCTTGATCATGAGACCTTACTTAAGAAGCTTGACCATTGTGGGATCAGGGGAGTCGCGCACGAATGGTTTAGATCTTACCTTTGTAATCGATCTCAATACGTAACTTTAAACGGAACTTGCTCTTCTAGCATGCCCATAGTTTACGGCGTACCTCAGGGTAGCATTTTAGGACCTCTCTTATTTGTAGTTTATATAAACGACCTACCTGGAATTAGTGATTTTGCAAAGTTCATCCTTTATGCCGACGACGCAAACATATTAATTAGTGGAACCACCCTAGAAGAAATACAATTAAAAGCTAATCAGCTAATTTCACGTCTTGTAGATTGGGTAGGTGCTAATGGGCTATCTTTAAATGTAAAAAAGACGTGTTACATGATTTTCACTAGAAAAAGAATCGACTTCAGCGGCTTTAATTTGTCCATTGACAACACTGTAATCGAACGTAAGACTGAAGCAAGATTTTTAGGAGTGATCCTAGACAAAAAGCTCACTTGGCAAAAACACATTACGGCAGTTAGAATAAAGATGGGTCGCTACCTCGGAGTTATGTATAAGCTAAAGCACCTTCTACCTATCAAAGCCCGCCTAAACATTTTCCAAAGCCTTATCCAATCCCATCTAAATTTCTGTTCTTTAGTGTGGGGATTTGCCTCAAAATGTCACATTGAATCTCTGTTCACCAAGCAAAAGCAGGGAATTAGAGCTGTTATGCCAGGATATGTAAATTATAGATATAAAGACGGCAATCCCCCGGAGCACACAAAAAGTGCGTTTAGATTGCATAATATCCTAACAGTCCATAGCGTCATTGTAAAAAACGCTCTTATTCTACTACACAAAGTAAGGAACATGCCAAGCCTTCTCCCTAAATCCATCATAGAACTTTTCCCTCACGATATTCCCACCTATAATTCCACATACGAACATAACCTTTCTTGGTTCACAACTTACAACGGCCCAACATTTAGAAATACTCTTTTCTTCAAAGGACCCATGCTCTCTATTACAAAACAAAGTAAGGATATAACTATTCCAAGTTCTACCTTTTCAATTGAAATCTTTAAAAATTCAGCTAAGCGCGAACTCCTCAAGCTGCAAAGCTCAGGAGACGATGAAAATTGGCCAAATTTCTTACTTTATAGTATACCTGGGCTAAGAAAGTCTCAAAGAGAAGGGCGCTCGCAGATAGACTACAACACCGAGTTAGTAAGCGACAACGCGTAAAGAAAGATCACTCGCGACAAATGACCATGATCTTTTATCAACAACATATCATTTTAATTTCACTGCCATTATGCAATGCCGAATTTACATCTGCCGCGCAAAACTTTTTATCTATTATTATTAAATAGTAATTAGCATGTTTACAAATTGCGACTTCAACCAGTTTTGCAGACCGTTAGTTATATAGTACTTTTAGTAGGGCATTTATTTTAATATATTTTATTTTACATTATTATATTTTAGTGTGACTTCTATAATTTCATTTATGTAATAACCATTGATTAATAAATTGCGGCACACGCCAACCTCCACTGTGGGGTTTCAAAACAATCAAAACAAACATCTTTCATATCAATAGTCCTTATTATAGTTAGAATGGATTTATACAGGAAATATAGAAACCCATGCCAATTTTTCATCACATTGAAATTATACTGTTGGGGCAGGAAAAGTAAATTTCGTCACATTTCAGTAACTTAGTAAAATCAAACTCAGCATTGTTAAACTTGAGTTCTATTTTGCTAAACAATAATCAACCAATAATTCCTGGAAGAACATTGAATTCTAACCGAGGTATGGTTCTTCAAAATAGGGTCAAGAAATGTAAATTTCGTCACATACGAGTACGTCATTGTAAAATTTAGATACAATTTCTTTCACGTGAACACTGAACAGTCCTAATTACAGTCCGAAATGATTAATACAGAGATGCAGGAAATATAAAAACCCCTGCCCATTTTATAATGTATACAGTAATATGTTAAGGGGGCAGGGGGGTCTTTATGAAATTTCTCTCGAAATTGATTTTATAGTTGTTTCTAATAGAGGGGAGTGATATCTAACTGCTACTTTTAGTCCCATGGAAAAATATTGTTCCTAGACGAAATTATTGCCAGTCAAAGGTCAGCGCTCATGTGTAATTGTATTGCGCGAGCGATTTTCAATCGCCTGCCCTGAAAATCGAGTCTAAAAATCTATCTCCTCCTACATTTTTTGAGCAATCACCTTGAAACTTTCAGGATATGTTCTAAGGACCATTTAGAAACTTTTGCTCGTTTTAGAATTTCGAGATAGGCCTTTAAAATTTTTTCATTAGATTTTGAAAATCTTGGACCTCTTTTTTTGACGATTTTTCCAGGTCCAAGATTTTCGTCTAGGAACAAAATTTTTCCATGGGACCAAAAGTAGCAGATAGATATCACTCCCCTCTATTAGAAACAACTATAAAATCAATTTCGAGAGAAATTTCATAAAGACCCCCCCCTGCCCCCTTAATCACAGACTATTTCATTGTTTCCAAATTTAACCTATTTATGATGTCTTATCATTTTGTGACGATGTTTACATCAACTGCCCTCTACTTGAATCAACTGTATCCGTGTATCGTCCTTATATAATAGAGAATTCCCGCAAAATGTAACCTATTTACGATGTCGTATCATTTTGTGACGATGTTTACAACAACTGCCCTATACTTGAATAAACTGTATCCGTGTATCGTCCTTATATAGATTTTCCCCGCAAAATGTAACCTATTTACGATGTCGTATCATTTTGTGACGATGTTTACATCCCGCCTTCCAAACCAAAATCAGATATAAATGATTTCGGAAATTCACCCAGAATTTATAATGTGACAGAATTTACATCATTTCCCAATAACCAAGTGCATGTATTTGCTAACTTTTCAAAACAACATATTTTAGGGCTATGATTGGCAGAAGAACCATCAAATAATGAGTTGAAAGGGTTTTGAGGACACCTCACAGTAGAAAAGAGGTCTCGTATTCTGAGTGTGACAAAGTTTACGAAATATTGCGTTAAAGCCGTTCGATCCGTGCCCTTTAACCAATGTTGTATCATAATTGTTAGATTGACCTAATTTACTATATTTCAGACCAAGGAATGATAATCGGGCAGCTATGGTAAGCAATGTCACAAAAATGTGACATTTTTTACATTATAGTGCCTAAAAGCAATACATTTTATTTCTGAGCAGTGCATATGGGAGTATGGGTCACGTGGCTAATGTTCAGAACTTATGAACACGCTAGATTAATAGCTGCTAAAATTAAGCCACTATCGTCGAAAACGCTATTTTAGAAATTTACCAATATCCTCAAACTTCAATGAACGTGTCCATATAACAAATAATTTGAGGTATGTGACATGTACGCAAACAAGTAGTGGGACCGTAGATAAGACAATACGAAAACTCAGACCAGATAACGCCTCAATACCTGAAACTGAAGATCTCCTTCTTCTCGTCTTCCCAAATATACAAAGTGAGTCTGACCCATATATGTCGGAACCTCTCCGGTTGGTTCAAACTTTTTCGATTTTGATCCAGTCTTTGGCCCAACCTCCTTACTACTATCTAATTAGCTTGGATTTGGTTTTGGTATCTTCATCCTCTTTGGTACTATGCCAGGCGAAACTATTATTTCCTTGACTAATGTCTCAACCCCCCAGATTGACAAGATACACCGTAAACTTCAGCTGATTGCCCCACAGGACTACGACTTGGACGGCAGGATCAAACTATTGAAGTCCAGCGTAATTTACAACAACGGGCTAAGTGAATACAATGAATCTGACATACAGGTGATATTCAAAAATGGTGATTTTGTGGATTTTAAAACAAAAGATGACAGTTTTGAAGGGCTGTTTCCAAAAAACAAGTCTGGCAAAGTGTTATATCCATGCCAAGTATGTGCTGGGGAAGTCACAGACAAAAGCGATTCCAGTGGATCGGGAATTGAATGCGATGGTTGTAACATTAAAAAAAAAAAAAAAATTTTCATAACCAATGCTCTAGCAGACCCCTTACTAAACCAGAATTTGATTTTATTACAAAGTCCCCTGGCTATGTCAAGGTTCTATGTCCACCCTGCAATAGAGTATATATGGCAGTGCTGCCCTCAAGCTAAGGCGAATTGAAAAGAAGGTTACCAAGACGGCAAATACAATTAATCTCATGTCAGATCAGGTAGAGGATCTTGTTAGTATTGCCAGTAAACCATCCTATAGTGGAGTGACCAGTAAAGCAAGTAATGCGGAGTTGAGACACAGTTAATAAACTGCGGAGTGACTAATATACTTTAATAATACTTTCAACACTACTATATAACAAATAATTTGAGGACCCCGAACTCAATTTTGATTCTCTACTGACTTTGCTGATTTGCACTGTTTCACTTTGTAAAAGAAGTGCGCAATGATCGGAGAAGGTAGTGTTGATGATGAGGGTAACAGGTCCTCAATCTCGTTACAGGATGTTATGCAAAAGAATGACGGGAATGTTAGCGAAGATATGTTATCCCCGGCCCCGCAACATTTCACACCTTTCCTGAACTCATCCACATCCTCTGAAAGTACTCAACAGCGACAAGGTAACACTCTTCAATACCAGTTTGCCTACATTAAAGACGGCACTTGTAACACCTGTAATGATGCTCAAGCTAATGACACTGCTCTTACCTGCTTTTTGTGTTGTAATCTGTCCTCGCACTTTCTTCAAAGCATATTCCGACAGAAACGCAACCAAGGGTGTTAACAGTTCCAGATTTGGGACTTTTACGTTTGTGTGTAATGTCTGCAAGACACACTCTGAACAGAACTCCGCAGTCAATGCCGAAAGTAAAGTCGACCTGATTGACAGGCGAGTAGATAATCTGACCCAATCTATGGAGGACATGAAGGGTTTACTTATGAAAGTTGTGAATATGAAAACATCTCCGGACATAACTGAAATTTCTTCTCCTTCATCTCCAGCACCAGTTGCCCCTTCATATCGCTCTGTATTAATCATGTCTAGCAAAACACCAGAAAATCAAGATCAAGATCGCAAAGATGTTGACAAAATCATCAAAGACAACGCCATTCATGCTGACAAACGGTATGTCAACAAGAAAGGGGAAATTGTGGTTGTGTGTCCGACAACGGCTGACAGGGAAAATCTCGTCAAGAAAGTATCCCAGCAACTTCCAGAAATAAAAACGCACCAGCCACCAGAACGTTTGCCCACAATCTCTGTTGCTAACCTTGCTGATAATTATTCTGAAGAAGATCTAGAAGACCTGCTCCTTCAAGCTCACCCCAACATTAAGGCATTAAAATCCCAGGGTGAAACATTTTCCGTACTAAAAGTTAAACCTCAGATCAAAAACAGCAGCAAGCATCAAGCTACTATACGAGTTAGTAACAATATCAGGAAAATCATAGAACAACAGGGAGATCGGCTATACATCAGTTCGTTTAGTTGCAAAGTTTATGATCAATTTCATGTAAAACGATGCAACAAATGCCAAGGTTTTGGACACTACAGGTCGGAGTGTGAATCAGAAAAAGCTGTTTGTGGTTATTGTTCCAAGAATCATACGTCAGAAGATTGTCCAGAAAAGAAAACCAATAGTCCTATCCCATGCTGCATTAACTGCTCTAAAGGCAAGTATCGGGATGAAAGAAACACACACACGGCATTTGATAGGACATGTCCAGCTTATGTTGCTGAACAGCAGCATCTCCGCAAAACTATCAATTACTACAGTTCAAAAAACTTGTAAGCAGTGGTCTGAAATCCTCTCCGACAGAGATTCTTGGCTGTTGCTGGAATGTGAGATCTCTCAATAATAAGATTCAACCAATCATGGAATCTATAATCGACCAAAGAATCTCTGTCCTTTTTGTCACTGAGACTTGGCTCACCAGCATGAAGAATGATGTTACTGCTACCATCAAGTCTTACGGCTATAACTTGATTCACTACATCAGGAAAGACTCCGTTAAATGCAGAGGCGGAGGAGTTGGAATTATTTATAATTCAAGTGATTTGAACCTTACTCCTGTGTTTGATAAGTGTGGAGATACGTTTGAAGCAGTTTTAGGCAAATTTCGGGACTCATCGGGTGATACTGTCCTCTGTGCTTGTGTTTACCGACCAGGGTCATTGACTGATGTATTTTTTGAAGATTTGGATGAGTTTATTGGGAACATATTCATGAAATACAAGAAGTTTTTAATCTGTGGTGATCTTAATATTCATTTGGATGAACATAAATCAAGAAACACGGCCAAACTGACTGAAGTATTGGCCAGCTATGGACTGCATCAATACGTGAGAGATCCAACTCACAACAAAGGACATATTCTGGATGTTGTAATCTCCTCCCATCAGATAGTCAATCCAAAGAGTGTCACAGTAGACTCGCACACTTCGGAAATGTTCCCAAACTGTGACCATTTCCCGGTTACTTTTAGCCTCACAAAAACAGTTGCAAGCAATCTCAACAAGAAAAAAGTTATCACATTCAGAAATGTCAAAGAAATTGACAAAGATTGTTTTGCGGATAATCTTGCTGAGGAATTGGTTACTGTAATGGATCCTGAGGGTCTATCACAAGCTGAAATGCCGTCATTTGAAAGCCGCATCAGCCTATACAACTCTAAGTGCCTAACTGTGCTGAATAACCATGCTCCTCTCCTCACAAAGGAAATCAAAGAACGTAAGTCTGCCCCTTGGTTCGATGGTGAATATAAAGCACTTAGAAGCCAAAGAAGAAAAGCCGAGACAAAGTGGAAAATCTCCGGATCTTTAACTGACAAGAAACACTATGAATCAATCAGAGAGCAGTGCACAGAACTCTCAGACAGGAAGAAACATGAGTTTTTCAAAGTCGAATTCATAAAGCATTCCTATTCTTCTAAGAGTCTTTTTAGATTTGTGGACACCTTTCTTGATCGGGATAAAAGCATTGTGTTGCCTTCGTCGGAGTCTCTCAAGGAAACAGTCGAAAATTTTAACGTATATTTTCAGGAGAAAATAAAGGCAATACGTAATAACTTTGATCATGTGGAGTCTGACGATCAAACGCCCTCTTACTGCGGAGAAAAACTAGCTGAGTTCTCTCCAACTACTCTAGAAGAACTAGAGGAGATAATCAAGGCATCTGAGATCAAGTCTTCTTCAATTGACCCTCTACCTGCTAACATCTTTAAAGAAAACCTTGAGGTTCTACTACCCGTCTTAGTTGACATAGTAAATGCTTCATTATCTTCTGGCAGTATTGATGGCGCTAAACTAGCTCATATCACACCCCTAATCAAGGGCCAGGGATTAGATAGTGATAATCTCAAGAATTACAGACCAATATCTAACCTTAGCTTTGTAGGCAAGTTGATAGAAAGAGTAGTGCTCAGGCGTCTAAATGAACATCTAGAAAACAACAACCTGAACATCCCACAGCAGTCTGGATACAAATCAAAACACAGCACCGAGACTCTGCTTGTGAGAGTTGTTAACGATCTGCTCATTGCATCTACAGAAAGCAAGGCAACTGTTGTTCTTCTCCTAGATCTCAGCGCAGCTTTTGATACAGTTGACCACTGCAAACTACTGAACATCCTCAGAAATGAGTTGGGAATAACAGGGACAGCTTGGAAATGGTTCAGCAGCTTCCTCACAGGTAGATGTCAAACGATTAAAGTTGGAAATGAGGAATCTTATGAGATAGTGATTAAGTTTGGAGTCCCACAGGGCTCTGTGCTGGGTCCGGTCCTGTTCAACATCTACATTCGCTCTTTGTACTCAGCAGCACATGATTTGAACTTCTCCATCCAGGGTTACGCCGACGATCATCAGCTGTATAAGAGTTTCAAGCCAAACGAGGAGCCCACCGTCCTTATCAACGATGTTCCCAAATGTTTCCAAGAAATTAATGACTGGATGAAAAAACATTATCTACAGCTCAATGCAGGAAAAACTGAGATTCTTGTCTTTGGGACACCGCTTGTTCTCCAGCAGCTGTCTATAGGGGGCGTGTTTGTTAACTCTGAGACGTGTGTCAGGCTGTCACCTGTTGCAAAGAACCTCGGATTTCGTCTCGACTCTCAACTAAACTTCGGTGAGCAAATCAAGCAACTTAAAACATCGTGTTTTCTGAAACTAAGAGACCTTGCTAAGATGAAATCATTCCTCACAACCAAACAGATGGGAACACTGACTCAAGCAATTGTAATCTCATCGCTTGACTACTGCAATGCACTTTACTATGGTTGTAGTCAAGCCTCAATTACGCAGCTGCAGAACATTCAGAACCGAGCATGCCGTCTGGTTTTTGGATTAAAGAAGAGAGACTCAGTCGAGGAGAAGCTCAAATCCCTTCATTGGCTCAAGGTGAAGGAGAGGATTGAGTTTAAGTTATGCTTACTGATTTTCAAAGCAGTCAATGGTGTTGCTCCTGCATATCTGTGTGATCTAGTAACATTTGTTAGTTCGAGTAGCAGAAGAACTTCATCCTTACACCTACCCGTCGGATCTACAAGATCACACCCAAGAGCGTTTCAGACTGTTGCTCCGAAAATCTGGAACCAACTACCAATTGAAATTAAGACTTGTTCCGATGTTGATCTGTTCAAAACATTATTAAAAACTCACCTGTTTAAGAAAAGTTATGGCATGAGCGATTAATTGACAATATAATAACTTTATGTTATTTGCTTAAACTGTTTAGGATGCAACCTAATGTCATGATCTTTTTGAACTTATTAGCAATTAGACTGTTAGCTCGCTTCACAAGCATGTCATCTTCGTTCCAAAACTTTTTATGTCCTATGCATACACTCCTTGTTAGTTATCTTGATCTAGTATCTTTGTTTCACACAATAGAGCATAAGTTTTGTGGTTTATCCACTGGGCTTAGAGTTTGTGTTTAAGCTACCAAATTTTATTATTATTTATTATTTAAAATGCTATACAGCAAAAACAGAAAGCTCCAACCAAACACTCCACCCTCATTCCCTCACTCCTCTTGGTGCACAAAACCATTCTAACCTATGTATGTCCCCCCTACGGGTTCCACAAGCCCAACGGTACATAGTTAGACGAAAAACAGAGAAGCCTTGATTGCCAGATCAAGGACTGCATCAGTAGCAGCGAAATACGGATATACCTTCTCCCTTACAGTCAGCGAGCTGACAACTATCTGACTGTGTCTTTTAGGCCTTGCCACACCACCTTCGCTATTGCATCCGCTCGCCCGTATTCACTGACACATGCCACACCTGGGTTTAGTATGAAGATGTACGCATATTCACCCAAGATGCGGAGATGCCTCAGTTTAGCGAGTTGAGATACAACAGCAAACTCACAGGAGCATGGATCAGAATCATCAGTTACCAACCTGACACCGTTTCGGGGCTTTAATCGCAATACGGTTTCCTGTCAGGCGCCCCAGCAGTCCACCCTTGAACCACCATCTGATCCGAGAGTCACTTGAGGATACCCGTTAGAGCTCGCAATTGGCGACGAGATAACGTTTATGGTACCTCTAGATGTTATAGTGAACTCTCAAGCTCCAACCTTCCTGAACTCCCACTCCCTCTTTCTCGATAACAAATAAATCCATCTGGAACAGTGGGCTGCCCAGCTCAAGATTTATGCGAGATTGCGAGCCGGACTCATCGCACAAAATTTGTAAATAAATGAGGAAACAGAAAAAGTTTAACTTAAAAGTTGAGGGAATTAGGAACTTAACATGTATTTTATACTCTTAACGTGTATTTTATCACTTGTTTATAGCGTGAAAACTTCGACGTAACGCGCGCGAGATTTTTGCCAGATTTTTGCGAGTTTCGTTTAAATCTCCGCGAGATTTCGGCACCCTCTTTCAGCACTACATATTCGGTCGCGCGCTTGCATTTTCATCGCTTTTCAGCGTGTTTATTCACTGTACTGTCTAAGTCTTAAAGGATACTAGTTGTTATAAGATCAAGATTCACAGTGGTTACTATAGTTACCATGGTTACCATTAAAGGAGGTACTATTCCTGGCTATATTCTTTCTCAGAATATACTTGATACTGCCATAGGCATAGTGAATATTTCTTCATTAAAAGTTTGAGAAAGGGTCTCTTCAACTGGAGATTGGAGAACTGACTTATTAATCCTAGCAGGTAATTAACTCTGGATCCTCATCACATTGATTCCATTCTAAATTCTAGCCATAAACAAAACAAACATTACCAGATAACTCCGTTTACAATAATTAGACATGTTCCAGTGTGAACGAGGCCTTCCCCGGACAAATCCTTAAATGCCGGTCTTCTCAGTCTCTTAGTTCTCTAGATGAAGTACGAACAGTATAATCTATCGGATAACGTATATTACAAGGTGCTCTGATGATAATTTTAGTAAAATAATTAATAATTGCCAAAAGAATGACCGCTGACGAGACTCGAACCCGAGTCAACTGCTTGACGAGCGCGCCCTCAACCATCGTGCTACGTGAGGCTTACCATAATTACAATATGTAACATAATATAATTCATGAAAATACGCACGTAAATTTTTCGTTATTTATGGATCCAATAACAGTGACATACTTTTCGCTTACAAAGGGACTCGCGAAATCTTTTTAAATAGAAAATAATTTGTGGGGCAAGAAATCTTGCAGGCTGGAGGGGGGGGGGGGGGGGTGGGGAGTACATTTCGTGAAAATCGCACTTCTAGTGTCAAAATCCAATCTCATCGCACTTTTTTTAGAATCTTGATAGGGGGTGGGCTGCCTCTTTCCCGCTGTCCCGTACCAGCTTCTTCAGCTCTCTTCCCCTAAAACCAATCCTCCTCGCAGCTCTCTCCAAACTCTGCGCAACCACTCCCCTAGCTCCAACTTCGACTGCGGCATTATAACAGCACCAACCTTTCGCCTGAATCTCAGCCTGCAGACCGCTGTATCGGTCGAGCTTGTACTCGTGCGATTCAGCGATCCGCTCTTCAGATGGTACTGTTAGCTCCCACCAAATAACTGTCTTTGCCGACCTTGAGAATATCACAAGGTCCGGCCTCAGCCGTGTTTCCACAATCTCACTGGGAAACTTAAGCTGCCCCTCAAGGTCTGACAGCAGTATCCAATCCCGATACCCACTCAGGATCCCAAAACCACGACTCTCCTTCCGGTCGTCTGTACCTGCTTTTCTTTTCCCAGCAGGAACAAAATCAATGAACTGCCTTCCATCGCCGGCCTTGTTCTTATAAGTGTTCACTCGGCGATCACAATGGAAGACAACCTGTTCAGAGATCTGCTTCAGAACCTTGTCGTGCCGCCATCTATACCTTCCTTGACTAAGGGCCACCTTACACCCAGCCAAAATGTGCTGAATGGTGCCCATCCTCTCCTCACATAACTTGCACTTCCCATCCTCATCTTCACTCCACTTGGAAACCATAGAGGGGGTTAAGAGGGTGCCGTACACAGCACTTAGCATGAACCCAATAAGTGAGTCACCATACTTAAAAAGTGTATGCCAGCTCAAATCCGTCTTCATTACGAGCTCTCTCCACTCACCCCACCTGCTCTGCATCTCCAGAGAACCTACTTGCACCTCCCTCTCTCTTTCAATGTTCTCCTTCACTCTCAGCATAACCTCCCTCTCTCTTTCCCGCTCATCCATCCTCTCCCAAGGTTTTTTCCAGTCACCAAAACCGATGCCAACTCTTTTTTGAGGTTGCACCATCCCTCGCACCGATTCACAGACCAAATCTCTTCTGGCCTCTTCCAGTTCTGTCTCAGGCCTCCAAACTCTACCAGAACGAACTTGGGGCTGGACTGCTTTAATCAGGTCATCCTTAGATGTCTGATAGGATTGCAACAGTCGACACTTCTCTATCTTCCATGTATCTGTCAAACTGCTCACCGGTAAGGCCACACTGGATGATTGACTGAACAGACAAAGACCACTCAGAGTGTGCCCCACCCCTAACCACTTCCTGAGGAAACTATTGGTATTCTGTTCCCATCTGGTAACTGTTGTGATCGGAATATCATAGATGGCAAGAGGCCACTTCAGTTTTGGAAGGACCATGTACTGATATCCCCAGCACTTCTGGAGTCCAGTAAGGGAACTTTCATCGAGTCTCCGAAGAAAAGTGTTAAGGTCGACCTTGGTTGAGTCGATGACTGATTTGTCATTTCCTTCCACTCTTATCCATCTCCCAAGGAATTTTATCGGCTTCTCTGACACATTCGGAATCACCTCACCACCCAACTGCAAACACACCTCTTCTCTCTCCACCTCCTCCTCTCCTACCACTACCTCCTCAACCCACCTCACAGCCACTCCCTTCTTCAACACCAGTGCTCTGGACTTCGAGGACTTTAACTTAAATCTGGACCAGTCCACGTACTTCTGAAACACATTGAGTAACGTTTGCATATCCTCTGCACTTGCGGTCGTCAGACAGCTATCGTCCATAAACAGCTTCAGAGTTGGTATCGGTGTGTCATCCTTGATGTACTCAATGCTTCTCGGAACCTTAGACTTTAGGTGTTCATGCCCAAGGTTCATGCACAAGACAAACAAGATGACAGATATCACACACCCCATGAAGATTCCTATCTCAAACTGCTGCCAGTCTGATGTCACCGTTCTTGAGGAGAACCTTCCGAATACCCCGGAGAAGTTGATATTGATAACCTTCTCGGGGACGTTGTAGAAACGGAGGGCCCTGGCAATCAGAACATGGGGTACCGCTCCGTAAGCGTTAGCCAGGTCAAGCCATACCACACTCAGATCCTTCTTCTTGACCTTTGCTTCCTTCAGTACCTCCCACATGGCACCAAAATGCTCCGTGCACCCACGGACGCCTGGCACACCACCCTTCTGTATAGAGAGGTCTACATATCCATTCGAGACAACAAAGCTGGTCAACCTCTTCGCCAGGATCGCCAAATAAATCTTCCCTTGAATGTTACCCAGGGAAATAGGCCGTCCTGAACTTGGTGAAAAGTCGCCATCCGCCTTTGGGATGTAGACACCCTCGAAATACCTACAATTGTCAGGATATTCTTCTAACTTATATCCAGTTCTTAACAGGTCCCAGAGATTCTTGGCAATACCAGGACATCTCTTGTACACTGTGTACGGGATCCCGTTGTTACCCGGGGCACTCTTGCTCCTTGCCTTCTTTACAACCTCCTCAAACTCCTTCTTGGATACCGTTGTGAGGTCAAAGGCAACAGAGGGTTCAGGAGCACACTCAGGCAGACCCTCAAGTATACCAAGGGGCTGCTGCCGGGCTGGATCTCCGTACGTTTTGGCCAAGTGATCATCTAGCTCCTCCTTTGAACACTTAAGCTCCCCCACTGGACTTGGATTTAGCACTCCCTTGACTGTCTTGAAAGGGTTCGTGTCCAAAATCCCCTCTAACTCTCCTTATCTCTCTCTGCTTCTGTCTCCTTTTCTCAGCCCTCCTCAACTTCATCAAACGACCAGCCAACACTCTCAATAATGCCTCATAACCATCCTTCTCTATCTCACTCCTTGCCTTCCTTTTCTTCCTCCTCAACTGCTTCCTCTTTTCAATCAGGCTGTCAATCTCCTCCTTTCGCCTGTTCTTAAAGCTCATGGACTTCTTTCCACTACCAGCACCTACTTCAACAATACCAAACAACTTGACACCCTCGTCGTACACTACATCACAATGACTCACCATCTTCTCTTGAAATGGTTTCCGCTTGAGAACCACTGCAAACTTCTCTACCACACACTCATCAAACTTACTCCATCGACCATCATTGGACGCCGGCCACTTCACCTTGTCTCTTTTGCTAGCAGGTGGTTCGACTGAAATTCTCTTGTCAAGGAGAGCCCGGATATCTCTAGCACTGTGGTTGTTTTCCTGGCTAGATACCTCCGTCGAAGTTACAGGCATACTGCCAGCCAACGACTCCCCTTCCCAAATGCACTTCATTCGACCCCGATGGATATTCCTGCCTTTGACTGTGTCAAACCGACGTCCACATACACAGATACAACTCTGTCCCTCTCCTGCTTCAACCGTCGAGGACTCTCGACTACCTAAATTTGTCCTTTTCCGGAGTACAGGTAAGTGGAGGGATGCCTACAAAGCCTTTATTGTTAACCCGGGCAACTCATCTCTAAATAAAGACTCCCGGGGCCTTAGAGAAGCAGGAGGCGTGGTACCGATGTAGGCTGAGGTAGCCACTTTTATGACCCCGTCTGACTTCTCTATTGCAGATCCGCTGCAGGCTCCGACCACTACCCAACCTAAAGACCAAAACCAGGCATACTATCTGTCTTATCATATGGGTCTTACCCCATGGTAGCTGGCCTATCCCAGCAGTATTCAACAAAGCAGAGTTGAGACACAGTTAATAAACTGCGGAGTGACTAAAATGCTATACAGCAAAAACAGAAAGCTCCAACCAAACACTCCACCCTCATTCCCTCACTCCTCTTGGTGCACAAAACCATTCTAACCTATGTATGTCCCCCCTACGGGTTCCACAAGCCCAACGGTACATAGTTAGACGAAAAACAGAGAAGCCTTGATTGCCAGATCAAGGACTGCATCAGTAGCAGCGAAATACGGATATACCTTCTCCCTTACAGTCAGCGAGCTGACAACTATCTGACTGTGTCTTTTAGGCCTTGCCACACCACCTTCGCTATTGCATCCGCTCGCCCGTATTCACTGACACATGCCACACCTGGGTTTAGTATGAAGATGTACGCATATTCACCCAAGATGCGGAGATGCCTCAGTTTAGCGAGTTGAGATACAACAGCAAACTCACGCGGATCACCATCGAAGTGCTTTGCTTCCTACAAACTTGGTTGAGAGTCTCCACACAATGACTAAATCTACTAGATTTACTAGAATGCAGATAAGCTTAAACGGATAAGAGTGGCAGTCAGACCAGGTGACACTAACATTCGCACCAGTCGTGATATCAGGAAAGAGTTCAACAAACACCACAAAGGCTTAGTCATTAAACACTGTCGCCTAACAGCATCTGGTTCTATAACCTTTGAGTTTGAGGATGAGACCACTGCCAAGTCGGTTCATGATAGCTGGTCTACTGAATTCTTTGGAGGAAATAAGGGCATGAAAATTCCGGGAGCTGACAACACCACTGGAATAGTCAAACACGTTTACGATGACCTATCTGAAGATCAGATGAAAGATGATATCATGAATAATTACTCAGAGGATATAGAGGGCTGCGAGTTCCTCAAGCGCAAAGGTGACAATTCATTCATGGGACTGATTAAAGTTGAATTCAAATCTAGAAACAGCCTGCTCAAAGTAATGGATGAAAAGATAAAATTCTGCAACCAGAGATACATTGTTGAGGAATACAAACGAAAATCAAGAGTAATAAAGTGCAATAAGTGTCAGGGCTGGGGCCATGTTCACAGGTACTGCAACAAATCTGCTAAGTGTGGGAAATGTGCAGGAAATCATGAGAGTCTTTCATGTGACATAACCACAGGATTCAAATGTGCACACTGCAACAAAGATCACAAAGCTGGCTCCTAAGCTATGATTGTGAAGTATACAAGAATAAATTGGCTCAATTCTCAGTAGATCGTCAATATGACTAGCGCTAGTTCCTGTTTAGATATGGGTAGATGTAAAAATAATATCCTAGGAAAAATATGTACTATCAACATCTGTGGGCTCTCCCAGCGAAGCCACATGATGCTAAACAAATATGTGTTTGATAATGATATTATTCTCCTCTCAATCCAAGAAACTGGCAGAAACCAGGAATACAAGAAACTGGACAACATGAAAACTTACGAGGACACCAACAACCAGACCAACAAAGGCTGTGCTGTTATGGTTCGAAATGATGCAATGTTCACCCAATTCTGTGACATCTCTAAGTGTTCAAAGAACATTGATACTGTTTGGGGTATGCTGTGTTGGAGTGGAAAACGGTACATAATTGGTAATGTCTATCTGAAACTGGACTATCTATCCGGTGTGAAGGAATTAAATGGAATGCTTGACAAAGCCTATAATCTTGCCAAGAAACACCAGTGCTCAGCAATTATTACCATGGGGGACTTTAATGCTCGCCACATTATCTGGAATGACTCAGTCAATAACAAATATGATAAGTGCCTTGAGGAATGTCTAGACTGGTCAAAGTTTAGTGTTCATGCTCCTTCATGTCATGACAGAGAATAAAGAAATAGAAAAAGAGTTGTTTGAGACATTCTTCATGGGTAAGCACATTGTAGAAAACATAGATAAATTTGATCAGAACTTCTATAATGAAACCAACAAACTATACTCAGAAATCAAATAGAATGGATTTCAGCCATTTGCTGATTCCATGGATAACTTTCAACACAGCTCAAAGCTTTACTGCCCAGTTACACACGGGGAAATCCTTGGTATAATTAAGGGAAATAAATCCACAGCAGGAAGTTTCGACAACTGCCAAGTTCATCCATCTATGCTCAAACACCTTGGTCCAAACGCATTGCATGCCCTGAGTATACTTTTTAGCCTCTGCCTGAGAAATGGAAAATGGGTTTGGAATGCATCTAACATAATATTTCTGAAAAAAGAAGGAAAGAGCAGTTATGCAAAGCCTGGTTCTTACAGACCAATCTCAATCTCTTCATATTTAGGCAAACTCTTTGAACGGATTCTTGCATGCCGGCTGGAAACATATCTTTTCACTATCGGACTCATTGATAGCAACCAAGAAGGCTTCTCAAAAGGTAGAAACACTATAAGGTATCTGCACAGGCTAACAGCTGGAATTAAAGGAGACATGATGAAAAAACTGACCGTTCTCTGCCTATTCATTGACTTCGAAAAAGCATTTGACTCGGTGTGGAAACAAGGCCTGATAGTGAAACTATGGAAGGTTGGTGTGCATGGATGCTACCTAAGAACAATTGATAGTTTCCTCTTTGGGAGGACGGTAAGCCTCCTCCTAAATGGTTTCATTGGTCCTGTTAGGATGTGCCTCGATTATGGGCTGCCACAAGGCTCTGTTCTGTCACCAATCCTTTTTAAATTTTATGTGTTCGACATGGAGACCCTGTGTCAACTGTATGAGGGGGGGGTGCCACTGTCCATTTTATCCCTGCAAAAAAAAAACTGAAAAAAGACAAAGACAAAAGGGACAAAATGGACAAGAGGGACAAAATGGACAAAAAAAGATAATAGGGACAAAAAAGACAAAAAAGACAAAAAAGGCGGGGACAAAATGGACAAAATGGACAAAAAGGACAGAGACAAACGAGTTGACGGATGTTACTCGTCTAAATTTCATCGAAGTAGCGCGCGCCGATTTCTTCTCGAAACGGCAAGTGCTACGAAGTAGCGCGCGCCGGGCCAGACCATTAACAATGGTCAACAAACGAGACAAATTGACATAACAGGGACAAAATGGACAGTAAAGAGAAGTCGCTGATTTCCGATAGGGTACAGGGTGTCGATTCTTTATGCTTCTTGTGTCTGAGGAAGCGTTCCTTCTTGTTCCACAGTTGTTTACATTTGGCTTCTTTTGTTCGTACTCAAAAAGTTTCGCGGTTGCAAATGCCGGCCCATCGAGGAAAATCTTTCTACTTGGTTTTTTAACCAATATAAAGTATGATTAGTCGGATATAGTACTGAGTTCAAACAGTTCCCGAAACGAAAAAGCAAACGTTTGATTTTTGTTTCGGCGACTAAATCGTCGATGGGCCGGCAAATATTTGTTGTCGAGTAGTGTTGAATACTCATATTAACATGATTATTGATTTAATTTAGGAACTGTATATAAATATGTTTGACCAAGTTTAATTGTTAATGAGAATGCACCCCAGCACTGGGCGCGCGCGGCGGCTTTGATGTTAGCGGCTACAAGCTATTGTAGTCATTGGAAGTCAGTGGATTCTTTCTACCTAATTTTACCTCATCCCATTATGGAACGCGCGCTGGGTAAAAAGAAATCTAGCCAGAGTGGAAGTCGGCGCCCACATTAAATTTTTGGAGAAAATCGCTCGCCAAAATTTTTTGGACCAGGACGACGTCCTAGCCTGGCAGCTCATTGCGCGGCGCGTTGCAACGAGCTTCGTTGTTCGTCGACGTACGACGAGCAACGAGAAAAATTGCGTGGCGCGTCGGGTGGCACATCTTGTAGGTTTACAACCTACCAGGACGCGCGCCGAGTTGGACTCGTCGACGGTCCAATATATGGAACAGATATTTTACGAGTATCACCCGTTAAGGCACATCTTAATGGGTGATACGCGTATAAATTTCGATCGCTGACGTACAGCGAGCAGCACAGCTGCGAGTGGTGTCAGCTAGTAGGATTTCATCCTACAAGGCACATCGCGTTCACCTAGCTAACCAAATGCTTTGGCGCCGCTGCGGGCGCGCTTGTTCCACAAGTCATTTCCGCCTCCGTCGGTCGCGCGCTACTACAAGCGAGAGGGCTATAGTTAGAGCAACACATCGCGCCACAAGCCAAATATTTATCAACATCTTGACTAGCTACGCGATCCTTTTCCGCATGCGCTCGCGCTTTGCTCAAGTTGCGCTTTGCTCAAGTTGCGCTCGCGTTAACTGCGTTAACGACCGAAATTTTCCCAATATGCAATAATTATTTTGCTTCTAAAATTCTCTGATAATTAATAATATATCGTAACATGTAATTGTAAGATAAAAAACCTCGCGCGCGCGGCGCTTACATCTGCACCTGAGAATCTCTGAGCAATGTGTGGCTGTCTGCGCGGCGGGATGTGTATTGAGTATATAGCTGAATTTAGATTTATATTTATTTATAAATGTATAATAATATTAAATATGTATTGGTTGTTTTGTGGTAAATAAAAATTTTGTTTTACTAAATTTTGTTTTACTCTACATTTGAGCTTGTTTAATTTTTTGTCTCA